TTTAATCCAAGTATAAAATTGTACCCAAGTATTATTTAATCCAACTATAAAATTATCCAAGTATAAAATTGAACTGTTACTAAATGACAATGTAAATATTGTCATGAACTGTTAGAACTGAACTGTTACTAAATATATTGTCATTTAGTAACAGTTCAGTTCTATACTTGGGTAAATGGATACTCTGAGACAGACCATAAAATTTTCCTTCTGATTTTTTATACAAGTTGGAATGAAATCTGCCTTCTTGTCTTACAATGAAAAATATAGTTTTCATCCTCCCTTCATTACAGTTTTGGAATGTTCACTTATCCTTTGAGAAAATGTTATTCTCATCCACACAAAATGGAAGTGCAGCTTCTTTGTAAGATGATGACAATGAGGAGCAGCAACGTTGACATAACTTCCTTTTGTCTCATTTTATAAAATCATGTAGCCTATATTCAAGCGTACTTTCCCTGGACACAGATGCACAGTGGATGAGATTATTTTCATTTTAGTGGGTTTACTTTTCTCAGTATGTTTTACTATGATGGATATGAACAGGAAGGGAAGAAATCTTTCTCCCCCCCCCCCCCCCAAATAAGACATTTGAGGCCTTCTGCTAACAGGACAGCTTCTGGCTCAGTGGGGCTTTAAATGGTCTTATTGTAGAGAAAGAAATGGTGCTGCCTGTTAAGCTTTGCATTCATTCCTGTTCTGTTCAGAGGCAGCAGCATTATGTTTAAGAAAATTATCAAGCTGCTTAAGCAGAAGGAGCCTTCTGATTGGCAATTGAGCATTTGAAGGGAAGATGCTGACATCCGTGGACCTCACAGTTGGATGGTTCTAACGCTAGCTGAAAGTTTCCATCCAGTTGATCAGAGCAATTGGCGAAAATAAATTATTTATAGAGGAAGCTGAAAGCGAGTCCTAATGACAATAAGGCATCTCTGAGAGATAATCACCTCCAAAGAGGGACCTCTTAGCCTGGTAGGGATTTGCAATTATCTTACAAAACTGCAGCTCCAGCAGTGACTTTTTATTGTCATATACTGGCTGCGAAATATTTAAAAAGTTAGAAAATACAGTATAGCAAACTCTCCAACTCAAACTGGAAGGTACAATTTACCCCAAAGGGATTTCTTTAAATTCTGGAAGTGTCGATGGAACACATGTCTGCTCAACAGATAGATAAATGCATAGATAGGATGTAATGCATTGTGAGGGCTTTGACTTTGAGGAGGAAGCCTTTTGTTTGCAGAGGTGGCCTTCAGGTAGCTCTCTGACACTTGGTAGACTAAGGCGGGCAGTGTGAATGTGGAATTGCTTTGAACACAGCTGAGAAAATACAGTAGAAAACCTGAAATGTGCTGTAAATAGTAGGTTAGCAGTGGGGCCCAAAGCACACTAACTGCCAGGTGGTAAAGCAGCGGTCTGTCACTTTAGCACACTGTCTGTGAGGATGATGGATATTTGAACTCCATCTCTATATTCTCAGCCTTAGTTATAGTTACTTAAGGTAGGGAGAATGAACATGGAAGAGAGGAGGTACTAGTGATACACAAAAGAATATACATGTAATTATGGCTATGCCAGTTGGTGCTCATTTAGGCTTTTTGCTGAAGGCAGGAATTTCAGGAAACACACATCCAGGCTCCTACTCCTCTCAAAAAACAAACAAACAAAAACACCCTTACCAGTGAGACTATTCATATTCATATTTGTCATGCCATACCTTTTCATTGCCATTGTTCACCTGATTTTCTGTTTCAGCACTTTTTTTCTTTTAGTCAGAACTGATAGAGTGCCTACAGACAATGAGGGATCACATGGGAACCATCATGCCATCAAATTGTGTGTAGCCTATCAAATCTAGCTGATAGAGGCACAGAGGTTGTGAACCATTTCATTCCACTGAAGAGTTAAACTCATCAGGAGCAACCTGTCAGGGGTTGCCTGGGACTAGAGTACAGTGTTTTTAGGGCTAAAAATAAGCCAGTCTAATTTAGACTGAGAACAATGTCTCTTTGCTGGGCATAATTGTCACCATTTTAGAACATGACGGTGAACAAAGTAATAGTCCCTAATAGATTATTGCTTCCTTCTTTTTAGTAGTGATCCCTGAAAACTCTGAGAAATGATACCACTGAAGTACATTTGATGCCACTGAAGTAGCTCAGAAAAAACAGATGTCTGTCTTAATCACTCATGTGTGCCAGTGAAGAATTGTAACCCATCATTTAGACTCTGAATGTTTATAATCATCTTAATTGTTAAAGCGATTATTGTATATGGAAGAAGATAGGTTTGTATATATGATCTATAAAGAGTGTGGGCTGGACACTGAAAATTCTACCTAGTTCCATTGAAATCAAGAGGAATTAAGCCAGGGCTAGTGATGGGTGAACTTGCCCTGAATTAATTCATTATTTCCTCAAGTAATAGCTCACCCATGTAAGCTCAGATGAGAGTGTTCAGAAATGCATCATGTTATGATGTTATGCATCACAATATGGCCTCCCCTGATTGGTTGCTTTCACATGGCTTCTCACAGAAACACTCCACTGACCACCACTAGTAAGTAAAGTACCTGTTTACTTACTGATCAAAATTCAAGGAAGTACTGTACAAACACTAATCTGATCTGATAAGACTAAGGGAGAGATGTAAGATCACCATAGTTTACTGTAAGCAAGAAAATGATCAGTCCAACCAATGCAGCACATACATGGAAATAGCATTGTTTAGATATAAACTGTACATGTTCTGAAGCTCAGAATCCATTCTGAAATTAATACTGAGTTTGTAAAACACAGTCCTGGGTTCTTAAAAAGCGTGACCAGAGAGTTGACTAATTACAAAATCTGGCAGCATCACTAGTCATAACAAACTTGTCCCCATTGATTTAATGGAACCTAAATTCAGTTGTGTCTGGACCTAACACATTAGACTTGTATGCCATAGATCTGAACACATAATTTGGGCTGCTATCAGAGGGGCTTGTGCTACCTTAATAACTATATTATGAGGGATGTTAAAGATTTCTGCAGTTCATTCATATATGTTCTGCATCTAGTAAGTAGCACTATTCAGTTACTCTGAGGATTGTATACCTTTGAGACTGCATTCGAACCAAACTGAAATGAAACACTGTTCATACTAACTAGCACTGGTTAATAACCAGGATTTGGAAAACTTTGCAAACCTTGGTTTCATATCCTGTTTAATGATGCAGTCTTGCTAGTAATCTTAGCTCTGATTAAAGTCAGTGTCACTGTGAAACTTAGCCATAACTAAGACCAGCAGGGAATAATGCACAAGAGAAGGTAGGTTCAGCAGCTGCTTGGAATCCTTTAACTATGGTTAAGGGATTGTGCATTGTTATATTTATATATAGGTGTTAACTATCCTCAATTTTTATAGTGTTCCTAGCATACAATGGGCTGTCTTCAAAGTTTGTTATCATACTCCCCCAAGTAAGTGTGGAATTAAACTGGATATCCTAAGAAGAGTCGTTGGTCAAAAGCAAAAAAAAAAAAATATCAGGGAGACCCGAAATGCCCAATTAGACTGTTTTGTGTAAAGTAATTCTGCAGTTTGTGAAAGCAGTTCCATTACTTTCCCAAGGATAGCACTGTTTATGGATCTAAGAAGATAGCTGGCCTAATATTCCCAATGATCATTATTGAGCAGCATGAAGTCTTCTGCTTACATCCTTCTTCTTGGATCTTCAAGTTTGGATACATTCATTTTTGCAGTTAATATAAAACTTCTGTAATTTGTGACTGCAGCATCACCTCTGTGTCCACTAAAGGTCTGTAACAGGACAGCACTATTTGTTGTAGCTGCAGAGAGTCCTCTGATCTATTGTTGGGCTCTGAACACAACTAAACACTAGCAGCCATTAATGACATCTGGTAAATACCATTCTGTCTATTAAGAAATCACTTCGTTTGGCTGCCACATATTTAAAAGGAACATAATGCATCTTAAAGTCAGCCTGCTTGTTGCAAATCATAACAAGAATGAGCATGGTTCACTGTTTTTCTGACAACAAAACTAATGATGTGCTGATGATTCTCACAACTAATCCAATATTTGTGATGAAAGTGTTGCTAATAATTTTCAGCAGCAAACTGTGAGCTAACAACGAACACATTTTTGGTTGCAATAAAATACCAGTTTGAAACAAGCAGTACATCTGTTGCCATTTTGGGAGATAATGGCCATATTTTTCTGCAAGAAAATGTCATGGAATTAGTATGCTTAACAAGACTGCAAATCTGAAAGAGCCTAACTGATTGAAATTACTGAGAGGTAGAAGTAAGACTGGTTGGGAAGTTTGGGATGTACGGCATGATTGTCCTTTCTTTTGGCAGAGAGCATTTCCACTATTAATATTATTGGTTAAATGAAAAAACTGTACATGGTTCAAACAAATGAGTCATGCCTGTGTCCCACTGAAATTAATGGGATCCACTTTACAGTTAAACACCTGATCCCATACACTGATATGGCTGAGGCATAGTGATGCTGGATGTTAAATTTTGTCACAGAACTTTGTTTCCAGGGCTATTTCACATGTTATATTTTTGGTTTAGGCGTTTTTCACACATAAGAGTCTTTCCATATCTCTGTGATTACTGAAAAACAAAAGGGGAAAGAATAGTATACAAATTTAACCTACAAGCAGATCCACAATTCACAGGGACCTTTTAAAAATGTTGTATTTCTTAGATACTGAATACTATGTTTATTTTCTCATTTATACAGATGGCTCCAATGTGCAAAATCCTGAAGAATGTAATCTGGCCCTCCACTAGTTTGTTAGCAAGTAAAATCTCAAGAGTGCTGGTAGCATTTGTGCTAAAGACTTTAAACAAAGAAATTGGGGCTAATTTAAGAAATTAAGAAAGAATGCTTGAAATAAAAAATTAAAATTTGCATTGTCAAAACAATCCACTAATGTTCATTTTAGACACACACACAGTAACAGCTCTTCTTGCTTTTCATTGCAGCAAGAGAAGCTAGGTGACATCTGCTTCTCTCTTCGCTACGTGCCTACTGCTGGCAAGCTGACTGTTGTCATCCTAGAAGCAAAGAATCTGAAGAAGATGGATGTGGGTGGCTTATCAGGTAAGCTTATCACAGCAATTCTAATGCTTCAATTGTTAATAACAATTTTTCACTTCTCAGGAAGGAAGATTGATGCTCATATGCAGGAATTAAATTTACATTGAAGGCTAAACTCAATTTTCTGCTAGTTGCCTTACTTTTGTGTAAGCACATAGAAGTCTGATGTGGATTGTGTCCATGGTACTTACAGAGTGTTAAGCTTTTCCACATGTACTCCGCATCCTCAGAAGTCTATGCCCTGGAAGGGATAAAGAATGAGGCTCTGTGTCTTGGAAGAATTTGGAAGAAGTGGGTACAGTGAAAAGTAAAATTCACCTCCCTGCAGAGTACCATTGTTGAGAGCTCACACATTTCAAGAAAAGTAAGAGAAACTAGCATGTACTGCTACACCATGTGTGAATAGCAGTACATTTAGCTTACCTCTCAAGATCCAAAGGCTGCTACTTCATCCTTACAGTAATTTTGAAAATGGGTGTTAAGGAAAAAGAGCTCACACATTTTTTTCTTATCCCCGCCCCTATTTGGGACAGATTTCAGGGCTAGAAGTTCAAGGTATCTTCTTTGTCAAATATCTGCATTTCCAGTTTAAAACACAACTGAATTGCCATGGCCTGCCCAGAGAGCTTTTCTATCAGGAGGTATAGAAATGGAATAAACAAGCAAATAAATAAGAAGGTGGAGAACTGTGTTCTGTACCCATTCTGACTGGTTGACTGTTGTCGCTCAGGATTCAAATCAGTTAATACTTTCAAGTATCCAAACTATAGGGGTGTTTTAATAAATCCAATAGTCAGGTGGCCCTACAGCAAGGTCTACACCACAGTGACCACAGGTGCCCTCCGGTGCTATTTTCTCTCTCTGCAAGGAACTGGAGCAATCCTTCCATTCACTTGTGGGGCAGAGAGTCTTCCTTGCCAAAAATGGCTCAGAGGTAAAGCCCATCTCCCACCAAAGGCTCCTGGGGCAACAAGAACAGGGGATAATGCAGGAGAGATGTCCAGAAGGAGAAAAGCTAGACTTAGAAGCACACAAAGAAGATGAACATTCATGGGCACGTAAAAACATGGACACAGGGTGTGTCCCCAGCAGTTTTGTGAGTAGTCCTCCACCTACAGCAGTTAACTTGTGGCAGCATCCAGAGAATCTTTTCAAAATGTCAAATGTGCTCCAAGACTCAATAGTTAGAGACCTCTACCCTACAGCTGTAAATGCTATGCTTTTAAATGTATGCAAATGTGATATATTACAAATAATGTAAATACTCAGTTATGTGCTATAGAGATGTATTGCTGAGTTAATGCCAATTCCATGAAATCACTGGGTGGGAAAGCATTATTTCTGTTTTATTATTCTATTTTTGCTGAAGGATATGTAATTTAAGTGAACTGATCTCCATTATTCCAAAATCAAAACTGAAGGTTATTTCTTCTTGGTATTTCAGCTGCTGTGTGTTTATAGGATAGTCAAAACTATATTCTTACGTGATTTTTTTTTTAAAAAATAGTCCACTAGACATTAATAAAAAGGGGTAATGTATCTATCTACTGGGTGGTGATAGATGTGGTGGCATCAGTATATATATTCTGAATTTGTACCAGAATCATTCAAGATTTCTAGTGGATTCCTCCTTGGATATCAATTATATGACCTTTAGGCAAGTGGAAATCATTTGTGCATGATACAGCTGGATATCTTATTAGCATTTGAAAACTCTCTCAATGGTAGTAGAATATATTTGAAAAGCTACATGGTACAGAAAAACAGGCCTGCAGTTCTCCTTCCTTTGTTCGACTCTGGATAGTTTTCTCTTGTACATCTAGGACAGTCTTCCATGGCTAGACTCCATCCAAATGTTTTGGCTTACATTTCCCATTATCTATAGCAATTGCCCATAGCAATTTGGAGCTGATGCAAAATGTAGGTCCAAACATTTGGAAGGACCAGTTCTAAGGAAGACTGATATAGCCAAATGTATCCCCTTGCAATTCCTGAGAGCAACTTCAGATGTATCTTCTTCCTTTTCCTCTGTCTTCTGTTTTTGAGATGGTCCCCAAATTTTTGTGCCTCGCCTGCCTGTTGTCCTACAATTTGATATACTTTTGATATAAGCAGAAAACTCTTTGAAAAGTGTGCAGTGATGATCCATGCTGGATACCATGCTAGCAAGACATTTGTGGCTATATCATGTAGTGAATTCTTGGGGCAATTTTGTTTTCTCCCTCCGTCTCCTTTCACTGACCTTTTGTCCATTTGCTTTTTATTCTGATCCTGAAATGTACAAGAACTTTGTAGCCATGGAGTTAAAGACAATATTACCCATGACTATTTGTCTCATTCATTTCAGTTAATCTACTGTGAGTAGGACAAACAGTGGATTTAGCCAACCGATTGCTGTGAATCTGTGCCTTCTTGAAGGATGTTGTTGCTACTGTTGCAGAGGCTCTGAATGAAGTCTTGATTGCTCAATGTGTGGGGGATTTCTAATCCCAAATTGCTTCCTAAAGTGTTTCAGATTCTTTTTAGGAAAGACCATGGCACAGTGTAATAGAACAGATTCCTTGCATGCAGAAGAGCTCAGGTTCGATGCCTGGCATCCCAGGTAAGGCTGGGAAAGGCTTTTGTCCAAAACTCTGGAAAGAGGCAATGAGTCAGTGTTGACAATACTGTTCGGGCCCAGGTGGCCCGAAGGACTGGTCGAATGTACTGGCATAAGAGTGTGTACGAACATATTTTGATGAGATTCTGCAAGTGCATCTGGATCTGTGTCTCATTACCTGTGACTTTTGGCAGCCAGTTCAACCCTTCCTTGCCTCCGTCTTTCTGACATTAAGCTCTTTCTTATTCTAAAGCAGCAACAAAACGTGATCAGGGTAGCATTATCAAGGGCAGAGCTACAGTCCCTACACTTGCAATCCCCAGACTAACAAAGGGCATTTTCATGTGTGTTACAGCAAAAAGGGAGAAAGGGTGTGTTTTTGTGCTTTGAGGGCGACATCTGAAGTGGGAACTTGTACATCTCCCTTACATCTTGAGCAAACCTATGTCATTGTATGATAAAGGTCATGATGTGAGTCTGAATGTCATACCACAGATGTCCACTTTGTATTTTCCTCCTCTTCCTCCTCACCCATACCCTGACTGACAGAGCTATATTTTTGTCTCAGAAAACCCAACATGGAGGTCTTATGTCTAAGTAAGCATGAGATAGCTGCAAACTCTGCTTATTACTGGGAGAAAAAAATGGGAGAATTATCAGCTCACACTCTTTTTCCTTCCTTCCTTCCTTTTTTGCTCAGCTGTTTATGTTTATTTTTATCTTGAAACTGAAATTGCACTTCAATTTTTTGTACAGCACAGTGGAAATGGAGGATTCTGTGTGAACCTAAACTGAATGTTACTCACAGAGTTGGCAGCATTTGCTACCTCCAGAGGATCCCATTATCAGGAATGAAAAAACTCGTGTGTGTGTGTGTGTGTGTGTGTGTGTGTGTACACACACATATGCCAGAGAAACAGAAAGAAATGGAGAGAGACTAAAAGCAAGCTGCTCTTTTTCAATTGTTACAAAAAGTCATGTGAAAAGGAAAGCAGTAGGAAAATGTGAAAGGGCTGTGAAAGTTTGGTTGGAAACACACCACAGCATGATAAGATGATATATAATCTGCCTGAAAATACAAACAGCAGATCCTTCCACCCACCCACCTCATTAACAGACTTTTGGCCTCCCTCTTTCCAGGACCCTGTGCACAGCAGGTATGCACAAAAAACCTAGACATTTTGGCTACATCCCTACAGAAAGCTTTTGTGCTTATTATTCACCATTGGCTTGATATCTGCTAAACATGAAGTAGAACAGCACCTAATACGCATCGTGAAAATGAAAATGGTTATTGCAGTCAGTTTGACTTGAGCACATGCTGTAGTTAATCTGAGGAACGAAAGGATGAGAATGAGTTAGTGCAGCATGCAAGTTGTTGTTGCAGCCTTTCGGACCAGCATCTGTTGCAAAGCTAACCAGGAAGACTTCTAGCCCACATTTCTACAGGTTGCCTGTAACATCAAATAAGCAATTAAACCAGTTCATTTAAAATACTGATTAAAATACTGAACAAGAAATAGTGTTCAGAAGGTACAGACAACAATTGATAAAATAAAATTTAGAAATAACTGATCCCTCTGTGGGTGAAATCCTAATATTTTGCAAATATTGTAATCATGATTTCTTTAATGTGCAAAACCAACAGTTATGTTGGGTTTGTTTGATGCACAATTATTACAAGGTTAATAAAAATACATACAATTAGAAAGATATTGCCACAGTACATTAAGTTGCCATAGCAAGACACATCAGTCTAATCTTTATATATGTCTTGTGTAACTACTGCAGCAGTAATTAAGCAACCACATGTAGCAATTTCATCCATACCTGTCAATAAATAGATGCATACACTTACTGCATTTAAAAGTGGCTCCCTTGTACAACTGTTTGCACAACTATGCACACATCTTTGGTTTACACAGTGACCCACTAGTACTTGTACAACCATTTGCAGAACTGGAAGCAGCAGAACTCCAGAAATGCAGCTGCTACTTCCACCAGTAGCACATTGATCTTAGGCCATTGAAGTACAACTCCCAATGAAGGTGATGAGAACTGTAGTCCAACATAACCGGAGAAAGCTGAGTTAGATGTACCAATGCTTTGACCTAATATCAAGAAGCAAGTGCATTTTTATATCGTTATATATCGGTATTTTGTGCATAGGCAAACACAGGAGATTTCTCAATCATTTTCACATTTATAACACTAAAAAGCACCTTTATTCTCTAATGTTCTGTTTGTGCCATATGTGACTATTGTGTGAATGTTTGGACCAATCCAGTCCCCAGGAATTGCAGATATCTTTCCCTTTCCCCACAGACAATGCACAGAAACAGGGAAATTCGTAGAAACCTGATGGCAGAGCATTAGCTAAAGCTGCATGCATGGTAGAAGAACC